AGAGGTGATGACTCCTGGTGTGACTACTGAGTGACCAGACAGTAAAGTGAGGTGATGACTCCTGGTGTGACTACTGAGTGACCAGACAGTAAAAAGAGGTGATGACTCCTGGTGTGACTACTGAGTGACCAGACAGTAAAGTGAGGTGATGACTCCTGGTGTGACTACTGAGTGACCAGACAGTAAAGTGAGGTGATGACTCCTGGTGTGACTACTGAGTGACCAGACAGTAAAGTGAGGTGAGGACCCCTGGTGTGACTACTGAGTGACCAGATAGTAAAAAGAGGTTGATGACTCCTGGTGTGACTACTGAGTGACCAGACAGTAAAGTGAGGTGATGACTCCTGGTGTGACTACTGAGTGACCAGACAGTAAAGTGAGGTGATGACTCCTGGTGTGGCTACTGAGTGACCAGACAGTAAAGTGAGGTGATGACTCCTGGTGTGACTACTGAGTGACCTGACAGTAAAAAGAGGTCGATGACTCCTGGTGTGAGTACTGAGTGACCAGACAGTAAAATGAGGTGATGACTCCTGGTGTGACTACTGAGTGACCAGACAGTAAAGTGAGGTGATGACTCCTGCTGGTGTGACTACTGAGTGACCAGACAGTAAAGTGAGGTGATGACTCCTGGTGTGACTACTGAGTGACCTGACAGTAAAAAGAGGTGATGACCCCTGGTGTGACTACTGAGTGACCTGACAGTAAAAAGAGGTGATGACTCCTGGTGTGACTACTGAGTGACCTGACAGTAAAAAGAGGTGATGACTCCTGGTGTGACTACTGAGTGACCAGACAGTAAAAAGAGGTCGATGACTCCCGGTGTGACTACTGAGTGACCAGACAGTAAAGTGAGGTGATGACTCCTGGTGTGACTACTGAGTGACCAGACAGTAAAGTGAGGTGATGACTCCTGGTGTGACTACTGAGTGACCAGACAGTAAAGTGAGGCAGCAGAGGCATCAGGGGCAAATGGCGCACAGCGGCTATTCACGTCACTCTTCTCTACTGACTCTCCAAAGCAAGGCATGACCAGAGGCCACATACCAAGGAGCAGACAGTGGCGCTTGTGTTAGTCGGCTTCATGCCTGTGGAAGCCTCTGGGCACAGGAGATGCTGCCTGTACCGGGCTGAGAGACAGCTGGCCCAGGGACCGCAGCTCAGGCCTCTGCCACCCAGGCTCAGCCCATAGCTCTGGTCACTGGTTCTATGCTGCTCCCTGTACAGTGGCCATCCTGATGTATGCAGTGTCCAGTGTCCAAGATGAATACTGTGACTCACAACCCGGACATCTCAGATGTCCCATGGTGCATAGGCATCACATATGGTGCCTGCGGCCTCCACAGGTGAGTGGATAGTCTTGTTGGACACCTCACCCCGTGAAAAGTGGAAGCAAGCTCGGTGTGCTCCTACAGTGCCAGACGGAGCCGCATCCCGTTAGATGTGGTCTTCACTCGTGTCAGAGCTGTGTGAGAACCTTGAGAACTTAGTGATGCAGGAGAGCCTTTGCCTGTAACTTCCAGGTGGCTTCAGAGAAGTGAGAAAACACACCTGTGTCTTGTATCCAAAGGAAGGAGAAAATGTCCAACATGTTCAGAGAGGGAAGAAGTTGAAACTATGTCACCAGTCTGGAGGATGGCATCACCTGTCTGTTGTCATATGGATGCTCTGGAAACACCTTGTCCACAGTTCCTTCCTGCTGCAGCGTCTGGGAGAAGCACTTTTCCCAGAGTTGGAAGGTTGGACGTTGGAAGAGGGACTGTGACACAGAACTTTAGAAAGGCCTGTTCCCGGCCGGGCGGTGGTGGCGCACGCCTTTAATCCCAGCACTCGGGAGGCAGAGCCAGGCGGATCTCTGTGAGTTCGAGGCCAGCCTGGGCTACCAAGTGAGTTCCAGGAAAGGCGCAAAGCTACACAGAGAAACCCTGTCTCGAAAAACCAAAAAAAAAAAAAAAAAAAAAAAAAAAAAAAAAAAAAAAGAAAGGCCTGTTCCCACACAGAAGGGACTCAAAGAGTCTCAGGTTGCACTCTTCCAAGCACGGCCAGCATGGAGTTCCAGTGTGAAAGAAAAATAAGATATAAAGTAAACTTCGCCAGAAAACATTATGAGGGAGCAATGTGAAGAGAGAAAAACTCAAAGAGCCAGGATGGTGACGTGTCCTTAGTGTGGACCGATGCTCATGAGATTCAGTCTAATGGATGAGTAAGTGGCTTTTGGAACCTTCCGTAGAGAGCACTTTCCTATTTTTATTAAGAATGTGATAGAAAATTGAGCACGGTGTCAGATATAGGCACTATTAATTTTATAGCACTGATTAATCCCACACACAGTCTCACAGCTCTCCCTGTCCAAGATCTATTGGCCTTGAACATGGGAAGATGAAGAGGCTGGGTCAAGGAGGCTTGCAATCACCCAGATTCAGAATGCGTGAGAGCCCGGCTAATGGCACCATTGTTCTCCTGCCCGGCCACAGCTTGTTCTTAGATTGTATGGCTCACCTTTTGTATTAAAGTTGGAGGGAAGCAGTTTCCTTTAATAAGTGTAAAGACAGAGGGGAGGAGAGGGAGGGACAGAGACAGAGACACAGAGACAGAGAGAACAGAGAGAGAAACCGAGAGAGAGAGGTGCTGATCAGTCAGTGTTTGCAGTCTTTTAGCCCGTAAAGGGACAGATATGGGATCCCTGATATAATTAGAATGGCCATTTGACTTGACAGTCCTTTGCAGCCTTCCTGTCTCAGTCATCCATCACCCCTCACCCATTGGTGCCCACTGTACAGACTGTAGGGAGGGGAAGGACAAGGACCCTCATCTTATCTGTGGCCTTCCATTAGAGCAGGACATTTGCCTGCACAGATCAGGACTTGGAGTAGGAATGTGGTAGAAATAAAACCTGGCCTGAAAATCTAAGGCCTGGTTGGACATGGGAGGGCCATCATATCTACACCAAGGTAAGCTTTGTCAGCTGTGAGGTGACACCAGACACAAAGACCTGCTGTGTGCTCACCTTCCACCCGTGGCCTTAGATGAACCACATACCAAGACTTCCTGTTAGCATAACCTGAGCAACAAGGGCCAAGGGAAATTATACAGTCACTTCTGTGCCTAAAATTCAGAGCTGGCCATAAAACTCACCTGCCCACCCTCCTTGGGGTGTTATTCTCTGAGTAAACAATGGCTTTCCCCCTTCAGGGCTGTGAGCTGTGACACCAACGTGATGGTGTGCTCAGTGTGCGGCCTGTTGCCCTTTCCATACCCTCTCTCTGTCTGTTTTCTTGGTGGTGTTGTTATCTAAGCATTCAACAATGTAATGTTAGCTCACATCCAAATCTTTCTTGTTAAAACTCTTACTTTGCATATGCATGTGTGTTTAAAATGGGGGAATGTGTGAGATCTGAGTCTGTGGGTCTGTCGCAAAGTTCCTTCTGGCTTTGAGATAATGCTATGTAGGAGTTGTCTCCAAGGAGACTGTTCTCGGTTAGCACTGGCTACGGTGCTGGGTCTGGGTTTCTAGTCCTTAGTGGGGTCTCAGGACCCACTGTCTCCCTAGTAGGCATGTCTACCTGCTAGTAGGGAAACATGTAGAAAGCACAGTTGGCCAGGCAGAAAGGCTACCCAGATGGCTACAAAGTTGCAATGAACCATTTTAATGAAACACTGAACCTGAATCCAATGGTGGTTACTGTGTACCTTTATTTTCTCAGTGTCAGGAGAACCCATGAAATGACAGTTGACTTCATCTTTATGTGAGGACACTCTAGCATCTTCCATGACAAACCTGCCTCTTTCTTCCTAGTTCTTTCTATGAAGTAACAAGTGGCGATGAGCTGACTCGGGGTAATGATAGTGAAGTATGTAGATCCAATCATGAGACACTCATATGGATTCTGTTCACACTATAACATGATTGGTGGTGTTCAATGCCAGAAGAGGTGTATATTCAGATTCAGAGCCTCCCCACCAATGTTGGAAGCCCTCCATGAATGCACAAATACTAGAGTCTAAAAATGCAATTATATTTTTAAATGTATGCCAGAATCTGTATATGCATGATGCTATAATTTTGATATACACCCCATGGGTATAGAGACAATTATATGTGTGCAATGTGGTGTAGGAGATCCTCTGTCTGAGCTGCATCTCCATGTTCAGATGAGCACTGCATATTGCCAATCACATATCAATGCAGGGCAGCCAGACACTGAGCTCAGCACATGTGGGTGCATGGCAGCTCCTGAAACCAGACCCTAGAGTTCTTCACAGACATGGAGGTGGGGTGCAGACACCCAGTGCAGCTCCCTGGGGACGGATTGGATATGAGCACACATCCATTCACCTTCCCGCCCAGTATCCCCATATTTGCAGGGTAGAGAGTTGACATGACCCTGGTGTCATGACCATGTGGTAGTCCATGCTAATGCAGCAGCATCTCTGCTGCACTAGATCGAGAACGTCACTAAGAGTGAGTGTAGGAGCCCAGGCTAGCCTTTCACAAAAGGAGATACTGATTTGCTAGCCAAACCCACCCAGAATGAACTTACAGGACACATTGCAGCAGCCACTGCAGACTTTGAACGTGGAAGAATGGCATGCATACAACTGCAATCTCTAGAGTGGGGGGTTCTCTTTAGGGATGACTCAGACTCCTTAGGACATGACTGATCCAAGGAAACCAGACCAGCAATGGTCAGGACATCTCAACAGTCTATACCGATGCTAACAAGATAAACGCAAAGTTATATAGGGAAGCTGAGGTGGGTTTGCAAAAGCTGTCTGTGCAGGGACCTCAAAGGAGAACGGGGCACAAGTGGGATCTCAGGGCTGTTACAGAAAGTGACAGTCGCTCTGAGGTTGTCACTGAGCTCTGAGCACTAATATTAGAAGAAACAGAAAAGTGTCTCTGTGTGTGAACCACAGTGACTGTCAAGTGTCGCAGGCATGGAGAATGACTGCAACTTCAGCGGAACAATAGTAAACATGTCTTCGCTTGTGTCTTGCAGAGGAAGAAGGAGGAGACTTGGCCCAGCCGGGCCTCAGCTTCCCGGGACCAGCAGAAGACGACATAGGTAGAGTAAATCGGATGGTGGGGGTTTGGGGGTTGCAATGACTGCCCAGAATCCTGCTCACTTTATCACACCCCATCACTGGGAAACTCACGCTAAACTTGTTAAGCACATCGGGCCTGGGAGATGGTACCAGTGAGAAGCAAGAAGCCATGCTGATGTTTTTCAATAGTAAACAACTTGTGAATCCCTTATGAGAAAGGGGTTCCCTGGGCCCTCATGTTGATAGGTTAAAGACACAAGAATGCAGAGGCCACATGTAGAAAAAAACCCTCCTCTGACTCTGGCTGGAACCTGCCTTCCTTTGCTCTAAGGAAGCCAGCAGTACTACTCTTCACTGGAAGAAGTTGATGCCCTTGGGCCAGCACAACGCAGGCTGAGGCAGATGCTGGCTCCTCAGGTCCCTTCTCTCCTGGAGAACAAGAGTAACTGTTGGCCCCTCCTCCCCAAGTGCTCAGGTCAGCCCCATGAGGGAATACCATTTGACGTCACTCCAGGCACAGGGGGCTGGTGCCACTTTGGGTGGTTGGTCAATTGACAGGGAGTTAGCCTTCCACTCATCAGGGCAGCCACCACTGTCACAGATGCAGAAAGTTGAGTAAATCCAACGTCAAACATCAGTCAGAGACCCCCTGTGTGGCTCCGGGCTCTGTCCTACTTCATATTCTGTGTGCAGACCTGCAGGGCCAGGTGCTCCCTGAATGACTCCAGAGCGTTAGACTACACAGGTATGTCGTGGAGTCAGCCCCAACTTGTTTGTTTGTTGAGACAGAGTTTTATACTATAGCCCAGGCATGTAATATTCCTACCACAAGCTCCAGAGAGCTGGGATTTACATATTTGAGCCATCACACCCAATCTCAGCAAACCTTTCAATAGGGATTTTTTCTTAGTTTTCTTCAGACCACCACATGTGAGGACTGTGTGGCTTGTCTGTTGACATAAAGGAATACTGGATACTCAGGAAGCCCACTTTGCATGAACTGAGGTGTATTTTAAAGAAAACCTTGCCCCCTCCACATTCCAAAATAGCTTGCTTTTTAGCTTAAACTTATTGAGTAGGTGTATAGGTCTGCAACAGCATGGGAACTCATGGTAGTAGGGGGCTCTAGAGCCCACCAGAAGAGCATCAGATACACGGTTTTTCTCATTGAGACCGGAAGTGGCCATTGTGGCAGCAATTCCCCGTTTTCCCTGTGACAGACAAAACAGGTGGGAATTTTCCCCCGAGGGCCAGTTTTCCAGGCAGCAGGAGCTTGTGGCTTGGCGCATTGGTCTCCAGGGACAGGTATGGAGACATCAAGAACCCCAGCCTCTGTACAGAAATCTAGCTAGAGTGTGGATCTCAGGAAATCCAGGAGCCAGTGTTTGCCTTGGCTGAGGAGGATTAGCTTATCCCAGAATCCCAGAGAGCGATGCTGAGGGCTGAAGCAGGCTGAAGCTGGGGTTGTTGTCACGCGCAGAGAGTGCGGCACAGGTTGGCCGCTGGAGTAGAAGCACTTCATGATGCCAGAGATGGAACAGGATTAACCACACCCATTAATTCCCATTGTTGTTGTAGAGTTTAGGGCATGATACACTCACAGTATGCAACTGCCACCCCTGTGTGTCTATGGAGCTTACCACTTGTCCCCAACTGAAACTATGTCCCCATTCAACAGCCCCAGGACCAACCATCTTATTTTCTGTGTCTATGGATTTGCCTACTCTCAAGAACTTTAATGCGTGGGATCACACTGTGTTGGTCTTTAAGCGACTGGCTTGTTTCACTCAGCATAAAGTCTTCAAGATTATTCTGTGGTAACGTGACAGGATTTCATATTTAGAGCCCGGTAATATCCATCCCACAGTGTCTGGACTACATTGTGCTCCTCTGCTCATCCATCAAGAGCCATTTGATTGTCTCAATAGTTGAGCTGCTGTCCACGGAACTACATGAGCACAGTGTGCCAATATCTCTCCTCCTCTGCTCCCATCTCATGGATCTACATGATAAACCTAAGCTCCCTGTCCTCAGGCCCCACCCTTCTGATCAGGGATAGAGTGCCACTGGTCATTGTGAGAATGCGAAGGAGCAGTCAGTTCTGGAAGCTTCGGGAACAAAGAAGCAGGGGGGTGTGGTGATCGCTGATTTCCAACTTCTCCCAGGGTTCCTGTTTGAGGTGGGGTAGAAGGTGGGGGGTCACAGATTTAGGAAAAGCACAAGTGGGCTCTCTGGGGGTCTGGGGAGGGGGGTAAGCCTGTGCCTGTGCAGCACTGTCAGGCCCCAAGGAGAAGTAGATATTTAGGGAGCCCTGTCTGAACCCCCAGATCCCAGCCCCCCATGTGTGTTGGTTAGGGTTTTTATCAATTTGACAGAAGAAATTAGTTATTTGGGAAGAAGAAGCTCAGTTGGGGAAATTCCTCCTGCAGATTGTCTGTAGGGCATCTTCATTAATGACTGATGTGCAAGTGTCACCCTTGGGCTTGTGGTCCTGGGTTGTAGATGATGGCAGTCTGAGCAAGCCATTCTCCTCAAGCCAGTGAACAGAATTTCTCTGTGGCTTCTTCAGTTCTTGCCTCCAGGTTCCTGCTTCAATTCCTGTCCTGACAGCCTTCTCTGGTGGACTGTATTGTGGAAGTGTAAGCCAAATAAAACCTTTCCTTCCCAAGTTGCTTTAGGTCATGGCATTCTATCACAATAATAGAAACCTAACTATGGCAGAAATTGGTCCAACATTCGTGGAATATTGGTGTGACAGACCTGACCATGTTTTTCAGAGGATTTGTGAATGGACTTTGGTACTTTGGGCTAGAAAAGATAGAGTGTTCAAAGCTTGTCTTAGTTTGGGTTTTCATTGCTGTGAAGAGGCAGCATGACCATGGCAACTCTTATAAAGGAAATTGAGGGTGGCTCACTTACAATTTCAGTCCATTATGATCATGAAGGGGAGCATGGCAGCGTGCAGGCAGATGTGGTGCTGGAGCTGAGAGTGCTACATCTTTCAGGCAACAGGAAGTCAACTGACTGTCACACTGAGAGAAGCTTGAGAAAGAGACCTCAAAGCCCACCTCCACAGTGACACACTTCCTCCAACAAGGTCACGCCTCCTAATAGTGCCACTCCTTTTGGGTGCCATTTTCTTTCAAACCACCACAGAGCTTAATAGGTTGTTGTAGGAACTTAGAATGTAACGTAGAAGTAGTACAGACAATGGAGGCCTGGCTTAAGTTTCAGAGAGAAGTTTGAGAGGCCCTATGGGGCTGTTAAAATATTTTCGATTAAGAATTTGTGGTTCAGCTGGGCAGTGGTGGCACATGCCTTTAATCCCAGTATTCAAGAGGCAGAGGCAGGTGGATCTCTGTGAGTTTGAGACCAGTCTGGTCTACAGAGCGAGTTCCAGGATGGCCTCCAAAAGCTACACAGAGAAACCCTGTCTCAGGAAGAAAAAAAAAGGATCTGTGATTCTGGTCAGCTGGGGCTGCAGAATTGGCTATGATTAACAAGAGTTCATAATCATTAAAGTGAAACCTTTGGTTTCCTGGGACAGTTGATACTGGTCAGTGGGGGCTAAGCTGTGATTAAGAAGAGTCCAGCATCACTGAGGTGAAATCTTCTGGGGAGTGTTTCATCAAAGTCAGCCCACAGAAGCTGTGGTCCAGAGGTGGCCAAGGATGTGCAACATATCAGCAGACCAACTTGGTGATGTGTGAGAGTTACTCAGGTACTGCTGGTCTTGGAGGCGTGACAAGGTCATGGAGAGCCACTTGGATTAGTGGCAAGAGGCCACGAGGGAAGGTGCAGCCTCAGTTGCAGTAGAAGCCCCAGGATTGAAGGGGTCCTGGAGAGAAGTTGAGGCTTGGCACCATGTGTCAGGGTCAGAGCCTCTGAAGAGAGTTCAGGAGAGGCTACTGGTGAGGGTACAAGCCAGTGGCAGCGGAGACCCCAGCATTTGGAGATGCCAGTACCATGTGTTGACTTCCAAAGACAACAGCAGCTGTGGAGCGGAGCCTGCCTGAGCCTAAGGGACAAGCTGTGTGTGCTGTGGATGGCAGAGCCAGAAAAGTGAAGCTGCCCAGGCCCTTTGGAGCCCGGAGGATCCGAGTGGATTCCAGATGTCAAGCATTCCAGATGTCAAGCTCGAGCTTTTTACCCCATGGGCCTTTGCTTTGACTGAGACTCCACACTCATCCCTCCCTCCAGGAGGAAGAGCTTGTTTAACCCGTTTCTGATTTTACAGGAGCCCTGGTGGAGAGACTCTGGATAATTGAGAGGGAATTTTTTTAACTGTTTGAATTTTGGGAGACTATGGGGTTTTTAAAAGCTGATATGTGTTTTATATTCTGATATTGATATCAAATATTAGATATAGATCATAAAGGAAAGGTCCTGGTTTAATAAGTGATAAGTTTGTGTGTTGAGTTGACAAGGAATCATTTATGCTAGTTAGTTGGTATTTTTTGTTTTGTTTTGTTGAGTTTATTTTTGAGTCTTTTGTGGGTTTTTTTTTAGTTTGTGTTTTTGTTTTATTTTGTTTTGTAAACTTGACACAGCTAGAATTATTTGAAAAGAAGAACCTAAGTTGAGACAGTGCCTCCATCAGATAGTCTGTAAGCAAGTCCCTAGTGAATTTTTTGATTAATGAGAAATGATGAATGTGAAAGGCCCAGCTCACCATGAGCAATGTCACCCATGGACAGGTGGTCTTGAATTGTATAAAAAAAAGCAGGCTAAGCCAGCCACGAGGAGCCAGTCAGTAAGCAGTGTCCCTCCATGGCCTCTGCTTCAGTTCCTGCCTCAGATTCCTGCCTCTGGTTCCTGCTGTGACTCTCCTCCATGATGGACTGTGAGGCAGGAGCATAAGCCAAACCATTGCCTCCACGAGTCACTTTGGTCATGGTGTTCTAGCATAGCAATAAAACCTAACTAAGGCATCATGACCATGGGTCCTGAAACTGGTGCCCTGCTGCATCTGGTGGGCAGTGCCTGGGGCTTGTCGTCTCCAGAGATCCCTCTACTTGCC